AGTGCCGTTGAGTGGGTTCCGACTCACAGCGACCCTGTCTAGGGTCTCCGAGGAGCAGCTGGTGGGTTGGCACTGCCGACGTTGTGGTTTGCAGTCCAGTGCTGATCCTACAGCGCCACACCAGAAGTCCACATTTGATCTAGCTAAATGGGAGTGGGGAATAGGAACCCTGAAATGTTGAGGAATTGAGAAAGACACATGCAAGGTGTATCTTAAATTTTCTTGGGCAGGGTATGGAAACAGAGTCACTAAAAAGAATACTTTGTACCTTTCTTTCCATCTTTATGCAATTAACTGCTTGTTGTTTCGGAGCTGGTAGGAGTCCTGGTGTGGCGCTGTGGGTTAATGCGCCAGACTGCAAAGCCGCTTGAACTACAAGGTCAGTGGTTCAAGCTCACTAGCTGCTCCTTGAAAACCCTATACAGGGTCTCTGAATTGGAACCGACTTGACAGCACTTAACAACAACAACAACAATTAATGGTAGGAGTCCTGGTGTGGTGCTGTGGGTTAATGCGCCAAACTGCAAAGCCCCTTTGAACTATAAGGTCGCTGGTTCAAGCTCACCAGTCAGTCATTCCTTGGACACCCTATAGGGTTACTGTGGTTGGAACTGACTTGACAACACTTAACCAAAACAATTTCTGATTCCTTAATTAGTGTGGCACTGTAAAATCAGCACTGGACTGCCAACCACAAGGTTGGCAGTTCAAACCCACCAGCAGCTCCTTAGAAGCCCTATACAGGGTCGCTATAAGTCAGAACTCATTAGATGGCACTTACCAACAACAACAAATTAGTTCCATTAGAATGTTCCTTAGAAGCCTGGATGGTGAGACTTCCTCTCTCACTCTTTGGCTATGTTATCCGGAGGGATCAGTCCTGGAGAGCAGGACGTCATGCTTGGTAAAGCGGAGGGTCAAAGATGGACCGACACAGTGGCAGCAACATTGGGCTCCAGCTTAGCAACAATTGTGAAGAGAGTGCAGGACTGGGCGGTGTTTCATTCTGTTGTGAGGATGGTACCAGACTGGGCGGTGTTTCATTCTGTTGTGAGGAGGGTGCGGGACTGGGCGGTGTTTCATTGTGTGTGCACAGGGTTGCTTTGAGTAGAACCGACTCAGAGACACCTAACAACAACAATTAATGGTAGGAGATCCCTACAAATATTGAACGGCCCCAGAGTTAGTGGCTTCTAGGGACATTGATTTAGAAAATACCCCTCTGTCATCAAAAGTCAACTCTGGCTCATATTGATCCTACCAGGGGTAGAGTAGAACTGCCCCATAGGGTTTCCTAGGCTGTAATCTTCATGGCAGCAGACTGCCTCATCTTTTTCCTCAGATGTAACTGATGGATTCGAACTGCCACTCTGGGTTAGCAGTTCAGCGCTTAGGCCATGGTGCCACTAGAGCACCTTGGAAAATGCCTCAGCTCATAAAATTTGGGATTGGAGGTGTGAAGGGGCTTCAAAAAGTTCATGGAAAAATGGAATGAAAAGATAGTGGAATTTTCCACGAGCTTTTTGAAGCCCCTCATAGGTCATGGAATTAGAAACAGGAGCAATGGGGTTGCTGTTGTTGTTGTTAAGTGCCTGAGGAGGTACCATTCACAGCACTGCATGGGGTGGTAGTCATTGAGCGCCAAGAACTCTGCAAAGGCAAAAACAGTCATCGTAGAAACATTTTACAAACGCGAACTTCTCTGTATTTGTAAACATTTGGAGAGAACGTGCCCTTGTGAGACTCTTGCACGGAATATGAGCACCCCCAATGAGAGATGCCCGGGGGTCACTAATGGCGGCAGCAGCACACTGAGTGACGTGTGCCAAGATTTAATGTTTGGGGTTGAGGCAGAAGGTGTCCCCCGTCCGCCCCCACACGGTTCAGGTTCAGCGCCGTTTGGAATATGCCATGTGCCAAAGCTGGAGTCAGGCACAAGAAAGACATCGACAGTTTGGATGGCGTCCAGGGCCAGCCACTAACAGTGCTTAAGGGCTTATAGGCCTGACATTTGAGCGGGGGCTCAAAGAACTGAATATTTACAGCAGGGTTAAAGACTGGATTATATCTCTTGGGATCGTCGGAGCCTGTGGCTTCATCCCTAAGTTATCCTCCATGGGATGGGTATCTCAGAGGCCAGGAGAAGGAGACCTCCCCAGGTGTGGGAGTCAGGAATCCTAGCCCTGTGCCCCTTTCTGGTTCCGCCTAAGAGTTTGGCATGGGGATAGGGTCTCCTAGTGGGCCAATTTGTTGCAGGTTAAACCCAGGAACCCCAGTATCTTCTTCTGTGTTCTTAGCACACAGTGGACCAGAAAATCCTCATTGCCCTGGAAGAATGGTTTAACTCTTGGGCTGCTGAAAGGTCAGTGGTTCCACGCGACTGGCCACTCCTCGGGAGAATGATAAGACAATGTGTTTCTGTAAAGATTTACAACCTTGGAAACCCTGGGGAGCAGTTCTGTTTTGTCCAAGAGGGTCATTGTGAGTTGGGGTCCTCTCACAGTGGGCTTTGGGTTTAGACCTTTTCCAGAAAAGACCTCTCTTTATTTGACATGAGTGGTGCTTACCTCGCATAGGAGGACCCCTATACTGGCTCCTGGAGGCTTGATTCTGACTCCTGGCAGCCCCCTTTGTTACAGAGTAGAACTCCATAGGGTCATCTTTATGGAAGCAAAGTAATTGGGTGGATTTGAACAATCAACCAATGGCCAAGTCTAAAGCATTTGTGCCACTCATGGACCCTAGAGGACATCTAGCCTCTTGGTTGTTATTTCCTTCAAGTTCATGGACAAACCAAGAGCTGAAAAGTCCGGGAGCGGGGGAGGAAGGGGTGTCTTCTCAGATGCAGAGTACAAATTCTGTCTATTAGATGTCGGTAGATTGATTTTATTACCACACACCCACTTGCAGCAATGAGAATCAGTTTCCTATTGTTAGCCCCATGACACTAGACTCAGAAATGACCTCCCTGGTTGTCTGGGAGAGTCCATGAAGGGCAGCAACTGGAGCAAAAGGACTATCCAGAAACTAGCCCAGCCACCTCTGCTCAGGGCCTGTTAGGAAGGGTCCTGCCTCTGTTCCTGTGATCCTGGGATGAGCGGGCAACTTGGCTTTGAATGTAGTTGTAAGTAGCTTCTCTCTGCAGTCATGGTTTGATAGAACCGAATGGCCCACGTGAAAGTAAGTTGTATTGCCGCATGCTCTGATGATCTCTTACCTCTGTTGGAATGGTCATCTCTGACGCTGCTCTTCAACGTGGACAGAGCAGCTGTCCTGTTTTTATAACACAGCGACCCTGACACGAGGCTCTTGTTTAAGCCCTTGACTCACTCGTGTGCTTGCTAAGGCTCTGCAGGCATTAGCGGTTTGTATGTGATTAAGCTTGAAAGCATCTGTAATGTTGAGGGATCATTCAGACAGTCAGTCAACATTTCTGTAGTGAGAGTTAGGATGAACGGGGCCCGCCCTGGCTGCTTGAAATGGCCTTTCTTATAATTTCTGAGGCGTGCCCCATACAAAATATCTTCAAAGAATGACTTGGATTCAGCTGGAAACATGGAAGCCTTGACCCTAAATGATGAAATTAACATTTTGCTCCTACTAAGGGAAACTCCTGCTTGCTTGAAAAGTCGTACCTACCTACAGAAATATTTGAAAGGCCAGGTGGGAACATTAGAATCTAGCCTGCTTACATATTGACCACACGGTGGGTGGGAAGGAATCGCAGTGAATTGCTTTCCTTTGTGCTGCTTATCTGTGAAACGTCTCAAGCGGTTTGTAAACAGATTGCTAAGGATTCATTTCTCCCATATTTGGAATTCTGGGAATATCTCTCAGGAACATGTAGTATCTGCTCAGTCACCACTGGAGGTGGAAGGGTGAGACCCACGTTCCCAGATGAAACTTCTTGAGACAACACTAAGGGCCACAAGGTGAGAGACGAGGGGCTTTCAGAACAATAATAGAACCGACCTTGTGAAGATGAAATTAGCTAAGTTGAAAGGAGGACTCAGAGCAGTACCGTCGGGTTGCTTCCGGCTCATAGTGACCCTGTGTAAGGTTTTCCGAGGAGCAGAATGCCTCTTCTTTCTCCTGCTGAGCAACTGGTAGATTTAAACTGCTGACCTTGAAGTTAGCTGCCCAGCTTGTAATCCACTACGCTACCAGGACTGTTTGGGGCATACTTGTGTGTGTTCCAGGGTACTTGGGTGGCTCAGGGTGGAATGCTAGTCTTCCATGTGGGAGACCTGGATTTGATTCCAGCCATTGTACCTCATGCTCAACCAGCACCCCTCTGTCAGTGGAGGCTTGCGTGTTGCTATGATACTGCACAGGTTTCAGCCACACTTCCAGACTAAGACACATCTGGGGATCTGCTTCTGGAAACTCCTATGGATTTAAATGATCCATCTGTAACTAAAGATGGGAATGGTGCAGTGCTGGCCAGCGTCTCATTCCATTGTGCGTGAGCGCTCCGTGAGTCACGGGACTGATTCAATAGCAGGAAACAGTAGCCGACGTGCTTGGTGTAGATGTCCCAGGAGAAAGCGAGAAATAAGGAAGTTTGATGCTATGGACATGGATTCTGAGAGACTGAGGTTCGGGCCCCTTGACCACTTGTCCTCCCCTAGTTGTTGTTGTTAAGTGCTGTCGAGTCGATTGCGACCCTGTAGAGGTTTTCCTAGGAGCAACTGGTGAGCTTGAACTGCCAACCTTAATGATTCAAATGGCTTTGTAGTTTGGTGCATTAACCCACTCAAATCTATGACAGCTATGGTCCTACTCTCAGAACATGTCAACATCTCCTTGGTAATCATCCACATTGGTGATAGTTATCATTTTCATTTGTCACAACTCTGAGTGCGTTGACAGAGGATACTTTAGTATTCAGGTGATCCTTTGTACCACCCTACCTTCCCCAACCCCTTTTCTAGTCAAGAAAGCAAAGTATCAGGTACTTTCAGATTATTCAGTGACCACTGTTCCTTCAAACTTTTCAGGTTCGAAACCAACACTGGAGTCTTATTATGGAGAGCGTGGTCCCATCCGACAAAGGAAATTATACCTGCGTGGTGGAGAATGAATACGGGTCCATCAATCACACGTACCACCTCGATGTAGTTGGTGAGTTCTTGCTTCTCTTGTGAGGCAACCTGATGCATTCGAATCATGACAGTGAACCTTGTTTTTCCCGGAAGTTTAAGGAGGGATGATTTGTTTTTATTCTTTCTAAACACCAGCTGTCATTTGACACCCTTGGTTTGGTAATTAGCAAGTTCTCCTGTGTTTTGTGTGAGCCTCTTGGTTCCCAAGCATCATGTCCTATAGGGGGAGCATGGGATGAAATGTGCTGGCATTGCAGAAGCCTCAGTTGTGTACTGAGAAACTGTTTGTGGGTGCAGGGAAAGGGTACAAATTTGCCTTAAGGACAATGTGTCTTTACAAGATTGGCAGCACTATCTAAGGAGAGACAATGTAGAATGCTGCCTGGAGAGTAAGGAAACGATACTGTGATGACTCATCTGATGGCTGGAAGAAGGTTAATATCAGTCAAGGGCTCTTGACTTCTGTTAGAAGAAGACCCGTAGATGCTGCAAGTTAATTTCTGGACCTAGAGGCTGTGTCCTCTGTGAAAGGAGAATTGCGTATATGAGTTTATGAATGAATTTTTACCAGACTGCCTGGTACCAACAGCTAAAGACCACATAGACTGTTGGTGTGGAAACTCTAAAATTTCTTCCCAGGTCTTGCCTATTGTGAAGGATTTTGTTGTAACTGGTGTGAAAAGGTGGTTTCTTTGCCTAGTTGAAGATTGATAACACCCATGCCTAGGGCACGTCTATCTTCAGACCATTTTATTAGTGCAGTGCTGGTAGGGTAAGACCTTTTCTACATAGAAAACTGTCTTCCCTTCATCCAGCCATGTCGTGACTCCCAAGCTCCTTCCAGTTATCCATTCAATGAGCCCTTTTTTGGATCAAGTTTGCTGATTCCTGCTTAAGACTCAACTCAGAGCTCACCCTGTTTTGTTTTGCTCTAATGTGTATCTAACTCCACAAATTGGCTCATCCGCCATCATTTCATCAGTGTGGGGCCCTACTATTATTTCACATGTAAGCATCTCTTCTCCCTGAGCACAGTGTAAACTCTGGAGAGAGAGACCCTAGTGGATATTTGAATTACCCAAAGAACCATAAAGAAACTTTCCAAAAGCTTGATTAATTCAATTGAGTGGATTTTGTTAAGTGAAATGTTAGGATAATTAAACATTTAGCAGAAAACCGATTTGATTTTTTTTAAACAAGTTCAGTTATATTGAACCCCCATTCTACCCTACCTTTGTTGTTGTTAAATGCCTTGAGTCGGTTCTGACTCATAGTGACTGTATAGCGTTTTCAAGGAGGGCCTGGTGAGTTTGAACGGCAGACTTTGTGCATCAAACCAACCTTGCTTTCCAGTGCAAGGTCTCCCTGCCACACCAGGACTCCCTGCCTTGTTGTTGTTGTTGTTAGGTGCCATTGAGTCGGTACTGACTTATAGCGACCTTATGCAGAGCAGAACGAAACACTGCCCGATCCTGGGCCAACCTCACTACTGTTGCCGCGCTTGAGTGCATTGATGCTGCCACTTGGCCAATCCATCTCGCTGGGGGTCTTCTTCTTTTTTTCCGACCCCCACCTTACCAAACATGGTATCCTTCTCCAGCGACTGGTCCCTCCTGACAATATGTCTGAAGTATGAGAGACGAAGTCTGCCCATCCTGGCCTCCAAGGAGCACTCTGGCTGCACTTCTTCTAACACGGATCTGTTGGTTATTTTGGCAGCTCATGGCACTTTCAATATTCTCCTCCAATACCATAACTCAAAAGCATCAATTCTTCTATTGTCTCTCTGCCTTAGTAAATTTGAAATAAACTTACTTCCTTTGTCCCTAAGTATTCAGTGAAAGCAGAACCCTGGTAGCACAGCGGTGAGTTAGGTGGTGAGCTGCTAACTGAAAGGTTGGTGGTTTGACCCCACCAGCCACCAGCTGTTCCATGGGAGAAAGATGTATAGTAGTCAGTTTCAGTAAGGGTTTGCAACCTTGGAAACCCTGTGGGGTAATCCTACTCTGTTTTACAGGGCTTCTGTAAATTGAAATCTACTCATCAGCAATGGGGCTTTACCCAATTAAGTGCTACTATTCTAGTGTAGTGGTTACGAATCGGGCTGCGAACCTTAAGGTCAGCGGTTCGAAACTACCAGCCGCTCCGCGGGAGAAAGATGAGGCTTTCTACTCCCGTAAAGATTTACCCCCTTGGAAACCCTGTATAGGGTCGCTATGGGTCGGAACCGACTCGATGGCACTTAACAACAACAACATTATCTATGAAAGTGTGGCACTGTGAGTTAATGCGCTGGACTGTAAGGTTGATTTGAATAGCAAGGTCGGTGGTTCAAGTTCACCAGCCGCTCCTTGGAAAACCCAATACAGGGTCGCTATGAGTTGGAACCAACTTGAAGACACTTAACAACAACAATATTTGTGAACATTGTGTTTTTGCTACTGAAAACCTTGATGTGCTATATTATAGGTTTTTGCATAATGTATAATATATAATAATATAATATAGGTAGTAGAAAATGTTCAGAAGAACTTCTAAGCCCACTGTTTTTAGAGTTATTTGTGGTATGTTTCTTAGTAAGACTCCACACTACACCACTGTACCCATAGCAACCCTGTATAGGATTTTCAAGGAGCTGCTGGTGAGCCTGAACCACCAACCTTGCAGTTCAAACCGACTTTGCAGTCCATCGTATTAACCCAGAGCACCCCCTGAGGACTCTGTTCTTATGGGAGTCCTTGGCATATACAACATTCTTTGCCAACACCATCATCCCAAAGCATTAATTTTTGTCATCCTTATTCGTTGTCCAGCTTTCTTATGCATATGGGGTGATTGAAAATACCAAGGCACGCCTTAGTCCTGAACGCTTTAAAAAGGAGTCTTTTGTAGCAGATTTGCTCCATGCAATAATACATCATTGGATTTCTTGATGGAAGCATTGATTGTGGATCCAAGTAAAATGAAGTCCTTGACAACTTTGATCTTTTCTCCATTTATCATGTTGCTCAGTGGTCCCGTTATGAGGATTTTTTATTTCTTTATGATGAGGTCTATTCCATACTGAAGGCTTTGATCTTCATTACTAAGTGCTTCAATGTTCTCTTAATTTTCAGCAAGCAAGACAGGTTGTTAATGAGCCTCCCTCCAATCCTGATGCCTCATTCTTCTTCAGCTAGTCCAGTTTCTTGGAGAAACTGCTCAGCTGACAGATTGAATAAGCATGGTGAAAGGAAACAGTCCTGATTTTAAACCATGCGGTATCCTCTTATTCTCTTGTAACAATCGCCTCTCAGCCTTTTGGCATTGATGCAGTATAAGTCTGCTGATTGAAAAGCACATGACTTTAATTTCACTTGGACTTCACATATAGTGAATTAAACATGAAAGTGTTTCCATGTAAGGAAAGAAAGTTAGAATTTTGGCTAAAAGTTCTCAATATCTAATTCAGAGTTAAATAATCTATAGCAGGGATAAAATAATTATGCTACGGTCTGTCGTTTGGGCAAATGGCTTCTTAAATCATTTATTAAGATGGTTTGGAGCTAGTCCAAGGAATCACCAAGTCCCATCCCTGGGCCACTCCAGCTGTGGCTCTTGCTTACAGTAGGTTTTAGGTTGAGCTGTGATGTAAAACATCCACTAGCCCCTTACTCCACTCGCCTTGAGCTTTCTGGCAGCTCGGCTCTGCAGTCCTGAAATCTCTCTTAGAGTTTAGGGCTGGGATTTGAATTGGGCTGCTGAATAATAGGATTGTGCTGTCTAATGTTAATCCTCTGGCGGTTGGTCATGTTGAAAAGAGCGAGTGATTCAGTGGTGTAGTGCGGAGGGAGCTTGCAGTGTATGGAGCAATGCAGAGAAAGGTCTGATGATGTCACAAATTTGGGAGCTCGCCCAGCGAAACGTGAGCCAATAATGACACAATGCTGGTTGGGAATATGCATTAAAGCCCAGCTTCAATAATTTTCCAAGCCCTGAACCTTCCTTATAAATAGAAACCAGAAAGTCAGTGGAGTATTTTCTTCAGTAAAGATGGAGGTGTGAAATACCCTCATCTTTGCTCAAAGCCCTTGTAATGTCTTGTAAGGGGTCCTGGTAAGACAACGATTACCCACTGAGCTGCTAACTGAAAGAAGTGTGCATAAAATAAAAATGGCATCCGGTCAAGAGACTCGATGTGAATTTTTAGGGTGGGTAGATTGTCGTTCTGAACATCTCTGCAAGTGGAAACAAATAAGATTCATGCTAAGGAACTTTCTGGTGACCCTCTGGTCCAAATTGAATATCTCCAGGCATGATGAAAGCTCTCTCTCTGTTTCCCAGAAATGCTTTCCCAGTAAAGTTGAAGTCTAGTTCTTTTGTACATTCTCCGCGGTTTTACTTTTATTGCTATGAGAAATAGATGTATGGTTCAGATATTATGAAGCATCAAACGAGATCTTTTTATTGAAATTCTTCCCGGGAAAGGCATTCCCATAAGCACTTGAATGTAAAAGCCATGTAATTTAAGTGACATTCTTGTGTTCTGGAATTAAGCAGCAGGCCATTGTTGTGTGTTAGGGAAGTGCTTTCGTTTATGGGAGCCCTTTTAGGAGCCTTGCTGGATCCTCATTAAAATTGGCACCATTAGTGATCAGCCACTTACTCCTAAGGGAATTTGGTGTGAAGACCCGCATCTCTGCTGTCACTTTGGCAATGAGAAAGCAGACTCCTCTAGAGGGGTTGCCGGGCCCTCAGTCCCTCAGTGAGTGGCCAAGTGCTGGATGCTGATGGGGGTCCTGGCATGTTCCTTGTGTCTGAAAATGAAGGAGCTGACTAGATAGAGTGTTAGTAAAAGGTGACTTGGTATTGTAGACAAAGTAGCCTGTGTGTCAGCTGACACCTTGGGGCATCGAGTGAATTTGGTCAAGGGTTTAGCTTTCCTGAGCTTACATTTGGTCATCACAGAGACATTGGAATGATGATTCTACCTCCATCCTGTGACGGTTGTATTAGGTTCCTAAGGCTGCCATGAAAAAT